TGTAACTGTTTTAATTTACCAATAAATCTTGTTTGCCCTGACAGACATTCATACACACTGAATGATGGAAGAAGCGCCCAGTGGTAGCATTGTTGTAAAGAATGAAATGGAGTAAATTCAACACTATCGCAATGTGTGATGCATTGCAAGGATTTATACTGGTCAACCAGTTATCTATGCTCAAATGATCAACCAGTTGTCTATTATTTTACTCTGCCTAATGCCAGATTATTTTACTGTCCAACACTAGACTATTTACTCATCAGGGGGAGAGTGCTGACACTCAATACTCAATGGGTTAAAAAACATTGAAAGAAAATGTTTAGCAGAAGCTGCAAAATTGTTTATTGGTGTCTGGTGTAATACTGACATTTCTTTTATTTGTAAGGATAGAGCTGGGGAACTTGTAGTGGTACAGTCTTGGCCCTACCCCTGTTTTCCTGTACTGCGTGTGTTTTCGTCACTATTATACCATATATATATATCACTTGATTATACCATAAGTATATCCTATGCATGGACACCATCTTACAGTTCTGCAGTTTTTTTGACAATCTACTGTAAACCTCCACCTAAAAGCACTGGGCTTATATTCTTTCGTAAGCGATTTTTGATGGGCTTACACAAGGGGGGGGCTTGTACATGGGGGGGGGGGCTTATATTCGGAGGTTTATGGTATGTATGGTTTTCACGATTTTCAGTGTATAGTCTTCCCTTGCTCATCACAAATGAATAAAAAGATCTGCACACACTACATAAATGATGTTGATAAAATTTATTTATTTTAAAATCGAAAAAAATATTAACATAATATTACTGTACTTAATAAAGATAATTAAAATGTTTTTAACAATAAAATCTTATGCGTACAATTTTAAAATGTTACACACATTCATTTCACCAGAAACACGGATGCTATATGATAACGTATATGAAAGGTGATGCTTTTGCTCTAGCTTAATGATGTATTAAAACAACTAGAGGTATTACATAATTGGTAAACCTCTTCAATCGTAATCATTTGCATGTTTTTCTGCAACAGATATGAATTCAATGAATGCTTTATCTTCCTCAAATGTCCATTTATGAAGTTGTACTGGGGATTTCTTTGGAGTCGGTTTAATCTTTCTGATAGGAAACTACAAAGCAAACAGCAAAAGTGAGAGGGGCAATCTCAGTGCCAGCACAATTAGACGGCAACAAAGAAACTCATGGATTTTTACCAGGATTGTGGGCATGCTTCTCCAGGAAATTTGTGTACTATAGGTTTTCTGGAATGCCACTCCCAGCATTGAAAAATAATAGTGGCGTACGGGTGGATATAAACTGCCCGATATTGTCATGAGTTTATTGATAGATGAACAAGAGGTATAAAATAGAAGGAACACATCTCCTATACAGACTTGCAGAAATACTAAACACTGACTGGAGGGGTTGCAATGCCCAGCCTCATATGCCTATGGACAGAAATTCTCCCAGGCAAAAAAGCATTAAAATACAATGTTACTGTTATTATGATAATAACTTTTAGCATAATATTTAACATATTGTATTATTAAAAATATACAATTATGTTTTCGTGTAGTCGTACTGTATTTTATGAATTATATTTGTAAAAACCTTTGTACTTTTACACCTTGGCATTGGTGATGTTCCAGGACACTTAAACAAAGTTCGGCTTGATATTGAATTCTTCAAACGAGAAATTCTGTGTCTCTTATTATTAGGTTTCCCTGGGGTATCACCTTCACTGAATGAATTAAGTATATACCCGTTTTATAGCAATATCATAACTAACCTTCAGTGACCTTCAGTGAGTATCATAACTGTCATTTCCAGTTTACTCTAAAATAGCCGAATTCTATAATAAAATGAAAAAAATACAGTCAGTGCAGGTACAGTAAACATATAAAGCATATCTAACCTTAGAAATTACATTAAGCTTAAAATATGTAGGAACATATATATGCATATGTTTCAAAGTACAATAGTTTCCTTCGCGCCATGATGATTATCACGCGGTCTATTCCCGCCATCGGCGATAGAATATAGCGAAAGTACCCCATTTTCAAACCGCGATTACTTGTCGGTTTAGTGGAGCAAACTCATGTTTTAAAGTAACAGTAGAAAGAAAAAATTTTCCCGAATTCGATGACGTGTTTTGTTTTTATTTTCCTCAAAAAAAAGTGAGTTTGCTTCTGCATTATATCAAGGTCATTTTATTGGCGTGTCCACTGACCCGAATCAAGCATAATTACAATACGTAATTAGCATAAGTAAAAAGCAATTCCTGTACCAAACAAGTCAAAAATAGTTTAATTAGGGTCTTAAATAATACAAATATAAAAACATACCTTCGAAAAAACGAGATAAACGTTGCCAAAATCGCAATGTATTTCAACAACTTTTCGCCAAACGTTCGTTGAAAATCGTAATTGTGAATAATAATTAGACGCAATGCATTGTGGGAAGACCCTCATTCCTCCTCTGGGTCCGAGGTTTTCTCCCCACTAACAGGCTGCTTACTGCAGCAACACATTCCATTCCGATTGTTTCAACTTGACCAATCAGGAAACGGCATGACGTATGCTTCCCGCCAAATTCAGTAGTGACTAATTAATTGTTCAGTGCTAAATATATCTCAGTGTTTACTGCTGTTAAAAATATATTACACGCCAGTTTGAAATAATCAACTTGTTTATATTCTGTATGACGGGAGAAGTGCCCTTGGTATAGCTGATCTGATCAAGGTATCAGTATAAAATGTTGATGTGAACAATATTCTGACAGTAACGATTTATTTATTTGCAAAAACGTCTGTTATGAAACGGCTGTTGTCTAGTTGAGGCTGAAAGTTACACTATTATTATTAAAGACACAATCCATGGACCCAGCTTTTATCGTCCCATATTTCGTTCCTACTCCTTGGAACTGTGAGTAAAACTGTATGTGATACCTACAATACATTGGGGAAAGCGTTACTGTATGGACCTCTATATACGGCAGCCGGGCAGTAATATGAAATGCAACCCGTCCGCAAGGTGGTTACACAGAAAGTGCTTGACATCGTTTCCCAGGAAGTTAGCGATTTGTGTTTTAGAAAGAAACTCTCGACTGTGTTAAAAAAACTGGGGAGGATGATCTAAAGAAATTCAGTCTTGAGCAGCTATGTGGCTCTGTGCTGCTCAAGCAAAGAAATGATAAAATGAGCGCGACCGCCTTGGCTATTGTGTTGGGTTTAGAGGTGTTGGGTATCCTTCTCAAATAATCTCGCTCGACTGAGGTTATATAACGGAGGCTATTTAGGCTTGTACAAAAAATATGCTGTAAAGCAAAAGTGCTCGCGGGTATTATGAGTTCTCAGACTTTTATGGTTTCAAAAGTGTTCGGATTTTATGCGCTCAAATAAAACCCGACTCCCGAGCACTTTTGCTTAATAATAGAAGTCAAACCCGCGAGCACTTTTGCTTTACAGCATATTTTTTGTACAAGCCTAAATTAAAACTAAAACTATATATGAGTAGCATTTAAGTGTATCATTAAGTACATTGCTATAGAATATAGTTTTAACTAGCAAATGTATATAAATATTTTTATATTTGATTTCGTGTTAATTTGAATACATGCAGTAATTCGAAATTGACAACTTGTCGTTCAAAATAGTTGTTTACAAATTTATATGGTCTTATAGTTATATATATTATATATTTTTATTTAATTTTCCCCATATATAAAAAAGCTACTTAAATTTTATCTTTAAACGATTTTGGGCTAGATAGACTAGATACCTACTATAGATATCTTCGTAGACTTTCTATTTAGATTTTAGGCTTCTAGTTTTATAAATACTGTTCATTTGTAATAATTATTAAATCACATAGACATAGTGTCATACATGCAATATGTAAAATGAGACGTTTTGAAGAATATGTACGTCTGTATTTACAACAGAGAAAAAGAAGTTACTGTAAGGGCAATGTTCGTATCAGTATATATTAAAAATTAATACTAAAGTTGGCGATGCATTTAAATTTTTACAATGACTTGGTATTACATATATATTTTTTTAATACAGTCTTACAGAAGTATGTTTTATCGCATGTCTTATAGTTATACCTTATGGACTTATGGTATAAATTGTCAATTGTGTATAGCAAAGTGTTGTTTAATTTGCTTTTGGAGATATGTTATAGGAGTTTATTTCATTAAATTTTGTTTCTAACGAATTCCATATATCATCCATATGAGATATCTATGATATCATCTCCTTTATACGAGAGACTGCAGTGTTTCACATAATTAAAATAATTTGTCCTTTCATTTTCGTAGTGTTATGACTTATGTTCATGAATTTTGTTGTTTGCCACAAAATAATTTTTAAAGAAATCTGATAAATTATTAAAATGGTGGTACCGAAACATTAATAAGGCAGTTAAATAGTCAATGATTTATCAAAAGCAATGCCTCTGCATGAATTCCATAAACTACCGCTCTGGCATTCGTGGAACAGGCGATCACATCACATGAGAGGCAAATCGATTTATCGAAGCCTGTAGACTGTAGTAGGCGTGTTGACAAACGCATCTCATTTTTCTTTAATTATTGTTCGAATCGCATTCCTCTAGTGAAGATCGTTGAAAGTAGAAATACGAAATAATGGGCGACTTCATACAATGCTTGATCATACGACGCCATCTTTGTTTCGGAATATTGAATTTAAGCGCGAACGAGTTCCTGATTTTGGTACTCGGGCTGTGATTGGCTAAACAATCGGAATGGAATGTGTTGCTGCAGTAAGCAGCCTGTTAGTGGGGAGAAAACCTCGGACCCGCGAACAGGCTGCGTAGGAGACTAATTAAACACTGGCTACACTGCAGTTACTTAAAGCGAAAGTTTTAATTGCGTACTAGGCATGTCCAAAGGTCGCATCTTCACGTGATGGCGCACGTGATTTTTTTTGTTATTCGCCGGTCGATAACGTATTATCTCCCTCTCGCGCTGTTGCGAGGGAGACAGCCTAATTTCGTCACTCTCACGTGATATGCTCTCAACCAATAAAACACTAGAAAAATGCGACTTTGACTATTGATATATAATAATGCGCTATATCTTTCTATTTTGTCTGGTCACCAGCAGCCTCGTACCCAGGCGCAAATAACTAAAAATAGGTACACTACAATGTTTTTATATAGATCAGTGGCTAAGCTGAGCAAGCCCGCGGGGGTGCTTGGGGAGCGCTCGCTCAGCTTAGCCACTGATCTATATAAAAACACCGTAGTGTGCCTATTTTTAGTTATTTGCGCCTGGGTACGAGGCTGCTGGTGATCTATGTTCAAATTTTGCATGCTGTATTGCACCGCATTATACCAAAGAGTACGACATTTTCGCATTTTCCAAAAAAATGGCATTACAGAATTTCTTCATATTTTGCTAATTGTTAGTTTTTCTTCCAAGTATAATAATGCACGAAAAAATTGGGGGTCACCATGTTTCATATCGTCAAAGTGTTGAACACCTGAATTTTTGGAAACTGTATCGAGCCACCTTAAGGTAAACTCGCTTATCTGCTAAATAGGTACAATTTGACTGTTAGGCACAGCGAATTAAGGATATTTTAATAGACCTTACTACAGTAGATACTGGTAAGGAAAATGTTAGGCTTTTGCAGTAGTCTCCGCATTGTTTATGTATACAATAAAATTTCGCAAACTATGTGTAGCGTTTCTAAGGACCCCTCCTAGGGGGGGGGGGCTGGTTGGAGACAAACGTCCAGATGACGTTTCTCGTAGGCTAAGTCCGTGTGTGACACTTCCCTAATGTAATATACATAAAGGCACTTCTTTTTTAAGGAAAGACAACTATTACCATGATGAAACGAATTATGGGCAACATCGACCTAATGAAGTCTGTTCGTGCGGCATACAAAGCCAGGGAAGCATTTGACGTGCACAATACACGAAGGCATCGTGAACAGACTTCTTTGAAAGACAAGGTCAAAGCTATGTGGTTCTGTCTGAAGGAGGGATTCTTTGTGAATCACACTAGCGAAGGCGAGAACGACATTACTTCATACAGCTCATGTGGAAAAACAATGAAAGTAACACCCAGCCTAATTGATGGTTACAGCAAAGGAGTTGCTAAATTTAAACTCGTTTTCAAAGAAAGATTATTTAAGTACTTTGGCCAACATGAAACATGCATTGAAAGTGAAGATGACGAAGATGATGAAGAGCTTGGCGTTTGTTAAGGATTTCATTAATCCTTTGAATTTTCATAAAAAAGTCATTAATCCTTTAATGATTTCATTAATCCATGAAACATGTATTGAAAGTGAAGATAACGAAGATGATGAAGAGCTTGGCGCTTGTTAAGGATTTCATTAAAACTTTCATTGAGCAGTCAAAAAGCTTAACAAAGATACTTTTATTCACAATATATATTTAATAGAATGAAATGAAATAATGTTGGTATTTCATATTTGCATATAATTTTTGTCGCATACGTGCCACATAACTCATATTTGAATTACTAAGGAACCATCAAACAATGCTGAACATACATTTCCAACTGAGAGAAATGTGGTTTTGGATAATCCGTGCAAGTTTTCTACTATTACTCCAGATAAAATTAATTCTTGTAGTAGTCGTGTTGCCTTTTGTTTTGAAATTACACGTCCACTTCCATGCTGACTGATGTGAAAAAACTTCTCAAGTTTTTTAATTTTAGATCCCCGGAACACCATAACAGCATCTGTAAATTTTATTTTCTCGTCGAGATTTTTCATAGCAATTATACAGTTCACCATCAACTTTGCATATTGCGAAAAATCTTCTAAGACTAAATGCACGTCTTTGTTTGCAATGCACATGTCGCATTGTCCACATTTGGAGGTTCGTTCTTCTCCCATCATTTCTTGTAGCTTTGCTGTACGACATTTATTACTGATACAGTATTCCACCATTCTATTCAAGCGCTCGAAAGCAACATTTTTTCTTGTTTGATTAGGGCTTTCGTATATATTTCTAATATGCGTACTGCGATCGTTAAAGTTAAAATACAGGTAACACTCTCCTTTGTTTCCATCTCGCGCACAACGGCCAGTTTCCTGAATGTAACGCTCTGGAGATCCAGGTAGGGTAGCATGAATGACAAATCTAACATTCTTTTTGTCGATACCCATACCGAATGCTGACGTAGCGCACAAAACATTCAATTCACCATCTTCCCATTTCTTTTGTCTCTCCATTTTCAAATCTATATCTAATCTAGAATGATAGAATGATGCTTGTACTCCTGCAGCTGCAAGTTCATATGCCATATTTTGTGTTTGTTCTCTTGAATTACAGTAAACTATTCCGGACTGATCTGGGAAATTACTTAATATTACTTCTGCAATGTCACGTGGATGATTGCCAGTCTTCTCAACCACATGCATGCAAAGATTAACTCTTTCACATGGTGCTTTCTTAATGATGGGGTTTGTTAACTTGAGGCTCTGTGTGACCGATGATAGAGCACGATCAGTGAGTGTAGCTGTAAAACAAACCAAGGGAACACCCAATTGAAGGTTACCAAGATCACAATAACTTGGACGGAAATCATGTCCCCACATGTCCACACAATGTGCTTCATCTATAATCACATTTACCAGAGTTTTATTGTTAACCATTTTGTGCAAGGTTGCTGTTATATCAGTACAAGATAACAGTTCAGGTGTGCAATATAAAAACTGAAAATCTGGTTTTGGTTTGAGCAACGAATGCAAGATTGAATTTCTTTCAGTTGGTGCCATTTGTGAGGTAATATGTGTTGCACTGATCCCTTTTTCCCTCAGGGACTTGACCTGATTGTAAATCAGTGACAATAAAGGACTTACCACTACTGAAGTACCTCCAGAAATTATAGTTGGGATTGTGTAGCATACAGTTTTTCCTGAGCCAGTTGGCATGGTAATTACACAATCTCTATTCAACATGACAGTTTCTATTGCTTCCCTTTGGTTGTCTTTAAAAGTTTCATATCCAAAGTACTTTTGGAGAACAAATTGCAAAGAATCATTTTCACAATTAGCAGAAAGTCCCCCTATTTGTACTGTGTCATCCTCCTCACAGGTAGCTTGGAAATTGTTCAATATCTCTGGTTCAACAGCTATAGCTTTCTGTAACAGACAGAGTGTAAATAATAAAGTTAGACAGAGTAAATAATAAAGTAGGGCGCATTGCTACTTAAAGGGTTAAGTATTAATTGGTAAAATACTGTCAAGCTACACTGTTATGTACAGTACATGCAAGGGCGGATTTTCATATTTTTCTCTGGGCGTGTGTGCAAAAAATTCAGGGGGGGTGGTGATGATCATGTGCAGGGGCGGATCCAGGGTTTTTGATGACCGGTTTAATTAGGTTCACTCAAGTAATAGGGAGGCCGGGGACATGCCCGCCCCCCTCCCGGAAAAAATTAAATTTGGGGCTCTGAAACAGCATTTTCCTGCGTTCTGGCGTCACTTTTAAAATTAATTTAATGATTAGAAAATGCATGTTTTTAAGTGAATTTTTGACTAATACGCAGCTGAAACAATAAATTGAACCTTTTCCGAAGTGTATTAGCTAGTGCCTAGTGATAAAAATATAGGATCCGCTAATTGCTGACACATCGATTTGGATCTACACGCTTTCAATCCAACTCTAACGACGAACTAAAAACCAAACTGCAAGAGCGCGAAAGCTTCGCAATCATTTCCTGATTCTCAATCGCCAAAGCAATGATCAGTGCGTCTAAATACGCTCGCCAGGGGCGGCGGAACAGGGGGGGGGGCTAGGGGGGCTAAAGCCCCCCCAGAAGTAAAAGTGGGGGGGCTTAGCCCCCCCAGAAAATTTGAATTTTTTGAAAAAATTTTGACAATTAGGGAAAAATTTAGGTTATTTTTTGAAAATTTAGGTATAAGGGGACAAATTTGCAATATTTTGTTTAAAAAGTGTATTTCCGGAAAAAATTTTTTGATAAGTCAAAAAAAATTTTTTTCGTCCCTTTTTCTGTATATTATACCCCTAAAGTGGTACACTGACCGAAATTTTTTTGGCGACGGGGGGGGAGGTCCCCAAAAAATTTTAGCCCCCCCCAGAACGAAATCTGTTCCGCCGCCGCTGACGCTCGGTAGTCCATAATCAAATTTCAATAATAATAGATTAGACAACATCAATTTTATGAAACAGAATATTCTTTAAATTAGTTATATACATGGAAGGTTATAGATTTTCTTTCTTTGGAAAATCTGACAGGTTTATGTAAACCTGTCTGAATCCGCCCCTGATGTGAATGTGCGGACGCGTGGTGCCGATGAGCACGTGAACTTATTTTTTGTAAGTGTGTTTTACTTTTACGTTAATTTGCTGCAAAAAAGCGTATATAGAAACATGTTAATTTTAACATTTCTATCTTACTTAACGGTAGTTTAATTTGTGCATTTAAATTTTGGCAGGGACAGGAGGTGCCCATTTTTGTTGGGGGTGCACAATTTCTCTGCGGGGAGGGGGGTGAAAAAAAATTGGGGGGATATTTGGGGGTGCGCAACCCCCCCTCCCCTCTCCAGAAAATCCGTCCTTGAGTACATGTCTGCCATATATTAAAAGAACTAACCTGAATACACTTGATTGCTTTTGCATAAATGACTGGATTTTTTCCATCACATGCAGTCCAACAATGGAAGCTCACAGACATTTTGTTACTCTCTGTAGTAATTAACGTTGCTGCTTCTGGATCCAATTTGTAAGGTTTTAATATTCCCTTATAAAATAGGAACATTGCATACAATTTTGCTGCCATTTCTGCACGTTTGGTGTTCAGACAAATAGGAGCAAATGTTCCAGATACTGTTTTGAAAGTTTCAGTCTAAATACAAAAAACAATCCACCTTGTAAAAATTTTGAATATCTAAATCTCTAGTTGGAGGGCATTTATTCTCTCATTTCGTTACTATGTTTTCTAATTATCATTAGGCCTAAACAAAATACCTGTGGTTCCGGTTCCCGACCGACCCTATTATTTTTTCAACGCGATTGACCATGCGACCCTATTTTCTCCGGGTGGTTACGGGCTGTTCATACAATGTGCCAAAATGATGTCTGTTGCCACACTAATTATTGAACCAAATTGCCTAACTTCGTCCATAGGAACTATGCATCTCTAGTTAATATTGATGGCGGGCCTAATTACATTGATAGCGGGGATAATTTGGCCATTTTATTCGCTTTCGCAGTGAGGAGAACTGACTTCTACTCACTGGCGAAGCGAAATTTTTTCTCGCCACGCCTAATCTATCTTTACTGCGCATGCACCCAATTCATTTCGAGCGAAATTTTTTGCATTTCGCCGACGAAAGTGCCGGGGCAATCAGGCCTTTACTGCAGTAATAGTTTGTGTACTTTACTGCAATAAAAGTGCTGCCTCACCACCAAAGTCCTGGGGATTGATTATACCAATAAACCTCATTCACTTAAATTGCCTTATACACACTGTATGTATGAATTTATTTTGTTTAAGAAATATCGAAATTACAACATGCAATAATTACTATATACTATAAATTAAGTGTACTTCAGATTTTCATATTTAAATGTATGCCCATGATTGTTAGTACCAATGTTTTAAACTATCTTCACTTGTCAAAACGTCTAGAAGAACACAATTAGGAATATACACGATATGTCTTTTAACGTGATATGACCAGTTTGTTGCAAGTTTTCATATTCTTTCCAAGGTAATGATAGTCTATACTGTATTTTCCATTTAAACTATCTTCACTTGTCAAAACGTCTAGAAGAACACAATTAGGAATATACACGATATGTCTTTTAACGTGAATGACCAGTTTGTTGCAAGTTTTCACATTCTTTCCAAGGTAATGATAGTCCATACTGTATTTTCCATTTAAACAATCTTCATTTGTCAAAACGTTTAGAAGAACACAATTAGGAATATACACGATATGTCTTTTAACGTGATATGACCAGTTTGTTGCAAGTTTTCATATCCATACTGTATTTTCCATTTGGTAAACAAGTCTTATACTATTCGTTTTTGTGGGTAGCCGCGCATGCGCAGCTAACCACTATGTGAGAGACTGAAGCGCGATCTTCCGTTTCTCTGTGGCTGAAGCGCGATCTTCCGTTTCTCTGTGGCGCTGTGGCTCTGTGGCGCTGTAGCCTTCGTGTCCGCGGTGTCCTGCTGCGCGGTTCCTTTTATCACTTGTCAAAACGTCTAGAAGAACACAATTAGGAATATACACGATATGTCTTTTAACGTGAATGACCAGTTTGTTGCAAGTTTTCACATTCTTTCCAAGGTAATGATAGTCCATACTGTATTTTCCATTTAAACAATCTTCATTTGTCAAAACGTTTAGAAGAACACAATTAGGAATATACACGATATGTCTTTTAACGTGATATGACCAGTTTGTTGCAAGTTTTCATATCCATACTGTATTTTCCATTTGGTAAACAAGTCTTATACTATTCGTTTTTGTGGGTAGCCGCGCATGCGCAGCTAACCACTATGTGAGAGACTGAAGCGCGATCTTCCGTTTCTCTGTGGCTGAAGCGCGATCTTCCGTTTCTCTGTGGCGCTGTGGCTCTGTGGCGCTGTAGCCTTCGTGTCCGCGGTGTCCTGCTGCGCGGTTCCTTTTATCACTTGTCAAAACGTCTAGAAGAACACAATTAGGAATATACACGATATGTCTTTTAACGTGAATGACCAGTTTGTTGCAAGTTTTCACATTCTTTCCAAGGTAATGATAGTCCATACTGTATTTTCCATTTAAACAATCTTCATTTGTCAAAACGTTTAGAAGAACACAATTAGGAATATACACGATATGTCTTTTAACGTGATATGACCAGTTTGTTGCAAGTTTTCATATCCATACTGTATTTTCCATTTGGTAAACAAGTCTTATACTATTCGTTTTTGTGGGTAGCCGCGCATGCGCAGCTAACCACTATGTGAGAGACTGAAGCGCGATCTTCCGTTTCTCTGTGGCTGAAGCGCGATCTTCCGTTTCTCTGTGGCTCTGTGGCGCTGTGGCTCTGTGGCGCTGTAGCCTTCGTGTCCGCGGTGTCCTGCTGCGCGGTTCCTTTTATCCTTGAAATACGAACCGTCTATAGACCACAGGCTAAGTTCACTAACGCTCATACCGTACAGAGATGTGTATAAATTCTTAGTAAAGTCTTTATTGTAATATGTTTTGTCAGGTCGATAGTCATTTCCAACGCATATAGAATCGAATATGTCGTTGTTTTTATAATCACTGCTTGTACAAGGGTCATTGGGGTTAATATTAGCGCAAGGGGTCTGTTTTATATCGTGTAATGTCATATTTAAACACGACATATCAGTTTGATCAAACATTTTATACGTATTAGAAAAATATAGCAATTAGTGATATAGCGCGCGACGTTTGGACATATTTACGTTAGTCTATATCGAAGGAATGTTGACGAATGACGAACATATAGGTATATAGAATCGAGTATGTCGTTGCTTACATAATGTTTGTAAGGCCACGTCATTGGAATCGGGTTAGTCGAATGTGTATTAAGGCAAATAGAAAGCCAAGCACGGTTTACACAAGGATTAAATTAGGCAGTGGAATATTAGCGCTTTTTTACTTAGGGATATATTTGTCGAATATTGAAAGCAAATTGAATGTCATTACCAATATATACGAGATCGATTATGTCGTTGTTTAAATAATTCAATCATCACTAAATAAATATATGTTGATCTTTTTCAAACTCCGCCGGAAAACATCGTCCTTAGATCTTTGCATGGACTATCCCTGAAACTCAAACTTCACGAAAATTGTATATACGCAGCCTGTAAACCTGATGCTTTGTCTTTGATGTATGCTGTCCTTGAACAAGAACTGTTCTTGTCTTAAGTGTTTTTCGTACTGTCTGTATTTCGGCGTGTGATGTATTTTGTTTCGTATACATATTAAAGACCTTGTACTGTTCTGTCTGTTCAGTGTTCAAATTATTTTTGACACATTAAAATACTTTGTAACTTCTTAAATCTGTTTATGCTTATTGAAAAATGCACGTAACAGTCGTTTACGTATTTTTGTCATATCTGATGTTCAGTATGTGATTAAATGTGTGTATAATATTTGAATTGTGTTCAATTTACTTAATACTTTCTTTCAGTAAATTCGGAATTTGACAATAGCAATTAAGTTATTAAGGTGGAGTAATATACTAATATGGGCAACAAAATTGCAGCAACTTGCAACAAAATCTGATTTCTGCGCATGTTAATTGAAATGTTTTGTCAACATTTCTACTTAAAATGCGTTGAAATCAGATTTTGTTGCAGAAATTTTGGCTGCAGCAATTTTGTTGCGCGTATTACTCCAAAGTCCAACCTCGGTATTACTCCAACTTTAACAACAATTAATGCAGGCTACCCACATGTACGCAGCGCGTACCTATTTTTTGTCCAATATATAAATATTTCGTATTTATTTAGCATGTAGCCATGTACAGGTAGTATCCATTGTTGGCCATCATTATTGTCCAATAACTTCTTAGGTTACTGTACATATAAATGTATGTAATATCTTGACATACAATGTTCCTGACATCCATATGGTAGATTGGAAACAAGTACAGCCAAAATAGTACATGACAGATTCCATCCCATTGCATTAGATGTAATATATCCATACAAACTTGTAAATCAGCATTCTTGTTTTAATAGAAATACATTTCTGTTAATCCAGCAGCTCCCATCCATTTTCATGCGATGTAATATATCCACATTATATTTTGACTTTAACAACCATTTGGTCTCATCCAGCAGTTAACATGACACCATTCACACCCGTCAGAATTGCAAAACTATACAAAAAATAATTGCCAGCATGATATATCTACTTAGAAACATGGTAGCACATAAATGAATGAAAATAAAAGTGGGGGAGGGGTTTAACAAACAAAATACTTACCATTATTTCAACTTGCAAATCATAATATTTTCATACATACAGTGATAACAATGAGTAAATTATTTAGTTAATAAATTAAATTATTTAAAAGGGTATATAGTCAAACTACATACCAAAATATAACTGGGATACATATATGAAATCCCTCTCTTATTCAACCTCAATAGTTTGTTGTTCTAAATACACTGCTGGTAGCCTGCACTAACTGATCTAGCCTGTTTTCTTCTTCAAGCCTATATTGAAAGTTAGCTGATGATTTCAAGCTTGTTAATTGTTCATACGTCATTGGTTCAATCATAGGCATACGGGACGGGGAAAAATTAGGGGGGCAGAAAGAAATTTGCCCGACTTTTTCGGATTGTGCCCGACCAGTGCCGAAAATTTTTTTCCGGAACATAATTTTTTATCGCTTTGACTACTTTTTGCCCGACTTTTGTTGAACATTTGCCCGACTTTTCGACTTTGTAATCTTTTTTTTTGGGGGGGGCAGCTGCCCCCCCTGCCCCCCGTCCCGTACACCTATGGGTTCAATGACACAAGATGCAAGTGATTTTACTCTACTAATACTGTAGCAACATAGGAAACTCCAACAGTTCTTTCAGATTTGCCAATATCCATATCCATGCTTTTGGAAGTGTAAGTCCTTGGCTCTTGTGTATTGTTAGAGCCCAAGCAAGCCTAAGAGGTGTTACTGTTGTCTCTCATGGAAACCTATTTCTGTCTGTGATGTGACAGTGATTGGATATATTGGGATACACAATTGTTGGTTTTCATTAAAAACAGGTCCTCTGTGGTTTTCAAATTCTACTATTACCACAATAGGTAAGTCAGGCGGTTGATGGTTGTTCTGATAGATAATATCAACAACTGTCCCAGTAGCACCATTGCAGAGACCAACACTTGACCACAAATTCATGGTTAACATGACCCTAGCACCTTTTGCTAGAAACACAACAGATTCTAACCCAGACATATCTGAGGATATCTTTTTTGCCAATGCTGATGAATGGCGGGCATTAATATGAGCAACTGGATGCTCAAGTTTTGTTAGCTGGTCATGGTTGTAATTAGCAACTTGTTCATTGCTATAAAAGAGTCTAGTAGAATCTTCAAAGTCACATAAATTAGTGACATTCGATGATTGACATGTCAGAAGTAACTTCCAGTAACTTGCTCAGATGTCATACTGTACCTTGCATCACATTGATTTACAGTGAGTTTAACAACTTTGTCAAACATATGATATGCTTGATGACCCTGTTCACCAACAGCGTTTGATGGTCTAGCATGGTAAAGAGGTTTATCTGCTACTGTTGGCAATTGACCTGGATCACCAGTTAAAATCAATGATTTTCCTCCAAAAACTTTGTCATTATAACCAGTTGCTTGTTTGCAATGCTTGTCTATCCAACCAAAGTAACTTGGCCAATCATGGAGTATTCATCAATAATGATGTATCCAATGTTATTAACACTCTCTTGTAACTTACACAAGCTTTGTCCTGTTAGGTCTTTTTTACCTCTTGATCCTATAGGTAACTTTAATAGAGAGTGCACAGTTACACCTCTAATGTTATAAGCTGCTTTACCTGTGGTAGCAGCAACAGCACATTTACTTTGCAAAAGATTTCTAATAGCATTAATAAGGTAACTTTTACCAGTTCCTGCAACACCATTTATAATGGGACATAATGGCTCTTTCTCAGATGATATATCATCAAAATGAGTTATGAGACTTAACAATATCATAAGCAAGTTTTTGCATTTCACTAAAACTGTTCATGTCAACAACATCATATTGCTCATCAATAGTGTATTCCTCTTTGTTTGTTTTTATCCATGTTGACATTTCTTGGATTTGTTGTTCTGAATAATAATGCCAGTCATATGTGGACTCTGGTGTTTGTTCAGAGTTGTCAAAAGGAGTGAGCCAGGTCTGATAATATCATCCACTCTTCTCGAGTTGTCTCCTGTTCTTCAGAAGGTTCATCTTCTGTTGAATGACAGCTTGTAATTTATTAAACCAGTCTGGAACATTAGACTGCCCACAAGGCGTCATTAGACTGCCCACAATCATGCCAACAATTGATCAGAACCTCATCAGTTGGTCCTTGGTCACCCCATGTATTGTTTTGGGTTGTTCTCCACGGTTTATACCTCAAAGGTTGGTACTTTGTGTGCCACTCAATGGGTTAACATGTCTTTTATTACAATATTGTTTGGGGAAACACCATATAAATTTATTACTGCAAAGCTTTCGATACGTAAGTCTGAATAATTATTATCTTATAGCACAGATGAAGATCCGGGCTTACGGATCAAAAGCTTTGCAGTAATACATTTACGTGGTGTTCCCCCAAACCAATTATAGTATTATATGATTTATTGCCATGCAAAGCTACAAAGAACTTATGTCCAAGTTTATTATTGGATGTCAGAATTTTCCAAGAGGTTAAATGATAATGTTAAATCAGGAATAGCTCATAACACATTTCACTACATGACTTTATGTAGTGAAAGTACATAAAGTCATGTTAGATTTATATCATTATAAACATTATAGGGTGATAAACAATACAAAACGTAAATATATTGTATCAACGATTGAACGTAATCTGTATACTGGCAAGGGCAAAACCTAGAGCTAGAGGTCTCAGGTGTATTATGATGCAGAATGCAGATGCTTGTCCTCAATGGGGTTTTTTCGGAATGAAGGTTAATTCTACTTAATTGTGGCCAATTCAAATCCAAATACAATTCAATAACTTGACGGAATTGATTAATATATTAGATTATAATTAAATACCTCGCTCGAAGATACTCCGTACAGTCTTGACATTTCTTTTAAGACCTGCTCGCCATGTTTATTTTTGAACACATCCTGCGCTTCTTTAATTGTGCCTTCTCCAATTTTACCGTGTTCAGCTCTGTAATGTTGTTCTAAACCTGCCTTTTTAAAAAAGGCAGTTTTATTTGTGCAGTCTTGGTGTGGGCAACAAACCTTATCTTTGGAAAATGCTTCCTGCCACGTCCTTAGAGTCGCCATTTTACTGCATTAAATTTACAAGTCTCACGCCGCTTATTTATATCTGTTTATATTCAAGATTATGCAGAAATTTACTTGCTGACGTGACGCCGGCACCATTTTTTTTACAAGATTCCGCAGGCCCTCTCGAAATCGTGACCTTCCCATGATGCAACGAGGGCCTGCGGAGGAGGCAGACACTAGCCTACGAACAGGCTCTCAAGATGAAATGAGAGCCTGCATCGATAACTAAGGAATTTGAATATACGTGTCTCAAATTTGCCAAGCAACACGTGACCAAAAAATGTAAACAAATGCCAAAAGTTCGGACAAGTTTAATTGTTCGAACATACAATCAATTGTGTTCGAACAAAAGCTTGTCCGAACTTTTGCCAATTGTTTACATTTTTGGTCATGTGTTGCTACACGTGTCTTTAGGGTCGAAAGGGCGACATGAAATTCTCATTGGTCAGATGCTATAATTTATATTTTTCCGCTGAGCCCTATATATGTTAACTGCTGAAGCACTATGCATAAAAACACATTAACTGATCAAATTGGTCTTGGCCATCTTATCTCGAAGCACAAAATGTTCTGTTTTGGTGTTTTGAGAAAACAGTATTTAAAACATTTAAACTTTTGCTTGAATATCTTATATTTTGAAAAACAGTATAAACTGTACAGTCTAAATTTAATTTGTACAAAAGTTGTAAACAACACCATATGAGGATAGACAATTCCATATTTGGAAAAATGAATGTTACATGTATATCATCAGTGCAGGCTCTCATTTTACCTTGAGAGCATGTTTGCATGCTATGAGCACACATGACAAACCCACAATTCATCACAAACCTTATTCATGTCAACTTGTAAAAGACAATGTGATGTGAAAATTTGCTTTTATAATAAATCACACTTTATTTGACTGTGGAATAAAGAGACAAGTTGAAACAAAGAGTGGTCAACTGTTTGATGTTACGACAGCTTTACCAATGTCAGTTAAAATAAGCATGTAAAATGTGATATGTCCAAATAAGCATGTAAAATGTGATATTTGCAAGAAATCTTTCACAGCCAAAAAATACCTTGAAACCCACTTGCGATTCAATTTAAACATAACAGCTCTGAAAACTGTAATCTTGTCGAGCTAAACGTTGTAACCGAGTGAGAGAGAAGAAAACAGTGAAGAAACGGCCCATGATGGCATTACCAAACAAAAGCCCCAAGCAGCCGCTATTGACAAAACTGAGAAAAGATGGTCGATTGACAAAACTGAGAAAAGATCTAGTCGGAGGAAGTCATACATGGTAGATTTTAAGTTAAAAACTGTGCAGCTTCTGGATAACCTTGGCAAACTGAACATGAAGAAAAAGTGGGAAAAGGTTGCAAAGATGCAAGGAGTTAGAAAATCGCTCATAGTGAAGTGGCACAAGAGTAGGGAAAAATTAAAATTGGAAGTAAAGATGAATAGAGTGAAGAAAAACGCAGGCAGTATGAAGGAGGCACGAAAAAGGAGAAAAATGGTATGTGAGAAATCCAAGAACAGTGAGAGATATCCATCAGCTGTGGAACATGTTGTAAGTGAGTTCAAGCTTCGAAGAGCAGGTGCGTGCAAGATTTTGAAACTTTGGCAAGGATTCAAAAGTTTCACAGGAACTTACGAAATGCTGTGAATTCAAGACGGCGAAGAAGTAACTCGAGTTTGGATGCAAAGTATGGGTGGTGGTTACCAAAGAATCGATACAACATGGACCAAGTTCCTCTCCCATTTGTTGTAGATCAGGACAAAACTTATGATGTTACTGGAAACAAACAGGTATGGGTATCGCAACCTTCCACAGGTTTAGATAAAAGACAAGCTACTCTACAGCTCTGTATATGGGCAGAGGGAGAACAAAATGTAAAGCCTGCAATTGTGTTCAGGGGGAAAGGCAACATTACCAGTGCAGAGAAAGCCCAGTACAACAAAGGTGTGGACGTCTACTTTCAAAAATGTGCATGGATGGATGCTGACCTGGACATGGAATGGGTGTCAAGAACATTGATACCTGGGGTTGGAAACTCCCCAGATGAAAAAGTTATCTTCACCGATGTTGGTTTTCAGCAGGGTAAAGAATTTCACAAAGCATGTGGGAAAATGAATGCTATTATTTATCTTCTCCCAGAAAACCACACAGACAAAGTGCAGTCCATAGATGCTGGGTGTGGGAAAAAATAGGAGAGGTGATGGAAAGATGGCTGGAGGAAGATAAAAACCTGGAGATGTGGCATGATAAGCCAAGTGCCAAACAGAGAAGAATTTTGATGACAAAATGGACCACTGCAGCTTGGGAGGAACTTTCAGCTGATCAATTGATCTTTAAAGGCCCACACAGACCAGACGCAATAAAAATTTTACAAGATATGCAGACCAAATAGCTAAAATTGCTAAAGTGGTCCCGAATATTTAAAAAACATTGAAAAATATTAAAGTTAATTTAATTTAATTAATAAATGTAATTGAAAACTAAAAATTCGTGTTGCGTTGCCAAATCGTGTCCGGTCTGTATGGACTTTAAGAGACTGTTTCAGAAGACTGGCTGCCTTGTTACAGCTGATGGCTCTAAGGACAGCAGCATTAGACCCTAAGGACTAGAATCTTATGAATTCTAGATTGTACTGTGCATCTTTTTACAACATGAACTTGAGCTGAGCTATGCAAGCGATTAGGACACTGACTTGTGCATACAGGTATGTTGTGATCTAAATTTATCCCTTTTAAAATGGATTGCTTTTTCTTAGTAAAATAAGAACCTGTTAGCCTAATTTCCCGACAAGCACCATTCACATAAGAACCTGTTTAGGCTAATTTGGAAATTCTAGGTTCTTATATGCAGGGTTTTACTGTATGGAAAATTCTGCAAACAAAACAAAAATATCATCACTGCAAAAGATTAATAAATTAACTGGAGTAAATTGTTCCATTGGTGCAACAGCATTGAACGGATATAAACAGTTTTTGTTGCTTTGTAGTCTTAATACTCGTTCAGTATGTAACAAGACTGATCATATTTTGGACTATGTGTGTGACTGTAAAGCTGACTTGTTGGCTTTCAGGCAGACTTGGTTGACCAGAGAAGATTCAGCTGTAAGGGTAAATCTTTGTCCAGGTGGTTATAAGTTTATACACCAATGTCGGGCTGGGCGGTGTGGAGGTGGCACTGGTCTGATGTTTTGTGATTTACTGAATGTTAAGAAAGTGGACAGAGGTGAACATGATTCTTATGAATTCTTGGAATGGCTGGTCAGCAAGAGCTCATCAAACAAACTCCGGGTAGATATTATTTATCGCCCACCATATACTGAGGAACATCCTATGACTGTTACAAATTTCTGCAATGAGTTTGCAAGATACATGGAATCCCTACTGTTATCAAAGGAACAGCTTGTTATGTTGTCATGTGGATGATGCAATTGATCTTGATGCGTGTAAGTTTCTCAACCTTTTAGAATCATTTGGATTAAAGTAGCATGTAGTAGAACATACTCGTACTCATACTCATGGGCATATCCTTGACCTAGTTATTACATGCTCAGCTGAAAATATTATTCAACATGTTCGTGTTGATCACTATTTGTCAGATGATGGCGCTGTTTTGTGTTACCTGGCATCGCCCAGGCCTCCAATTACAGTCAAGGAGGTTAAGTACAGGAAAATCAAGTCTATTGACACTACAGCCTTCTTGCGTGATCTGGCTGAAACATCTTTGTGTGTGGATATTTCTCCTGGTGTAGAAAGCCTTCGTCCTCATGAATTTGATGATAACTATAACATGACTTTGTTTCAACTTATTGAGTTGCATCGCATGCTCGACTGAAGACAAAGACTATTGTGTCCAGACCTACTGTACCATGGTATAATGAAGAGATACATAGAGCCAAATGCTTGTGCAGAAAGGCTGAAAGAAAATGGAGAAAGACCAAACAGGGCATATATGGACTTTCAGTTATTTAAGAAAATGAGGAATAAGGTGACCTATCTTTTGAATAAAGCAAAACATACATTTTACACTTGTTTTGTTAATGAGAACAGCAGTGACCAAAAACGATTATTTCATGCCTCTAAGAGGTTGCTAGGATATAGTGACACTGTCTCATTTCCAGATTATGAGGACAAGACTTTATTGGGAGATTTTTTCCACAAAAGATATCTAGGATTCGTGATCAGATAGATTCTACAGATATAGTTGATAAGGGTGTAATCCCTGAAGACCCCCTGTTGATGATAGATAGATAGATAGATAACCTTTATTTTAACACGATAATGTTTAAAGCTGCAAGCTTGTGGGGTCGTGTATATAACTATATATCTATGAGTTAACTATGAAGATGAAATATTAGATCTACATGTACTAATTAAATTAATTGATATTATAAAATATTTATTATTGTCAGCTTTCTACACCATATATACAATTAAAATAATACTAAAAAGGCGATTTCAAACAAGTTTCGACCTTCGGACCATATATACATATTCACTCTGCCTGAACCGCATAGTTGAGGCAGAGGCGACATCGAACATAAGGCTATAAAGTAGGTTTCTTTGTACACGGTCCATGGTTCAAATTTACATCCCAACTAGTTAAAATCCGTATTATCTGGAATGTTGAATCACTATTTGGATATCTACTTACTCTGCGGCCAAAGAAACTCTGAGAAGAAGCCTTTGTAAACTCAAAATGGCATCGGCGGTGAATAGCCTCAGTTGCCAAAACACTGTATTGTAGGAGGTTTTGCACGTCAGTTATCAGTGTATTTTGACAGATGTTATTCAATTCATCATCAAGATTAATCTTCCAGACAGAATTGTATATAGTTCCAAAAAGTATAAGATAAACTACACCAGAGCTAGAGCAATTTTTCCACGTCATGCTTGCTGTGACGCCCCATCTCTCAGTCGGTCCTCTTACAGGATCACAGCCGTGGCAGCTTGATGTTGTTGCCGTTTTCTAATGCGTCTTTTGGCATTGCGGGAATTGTGGCCTTGGCACTGCGGCTGTTGTTGTTGTTGTGGTGGTGGGCGCTGCTGACCCGTGCCTTCTTCTCCAAGAAGGTCGCCTAAACAATACAAAAAGTTTTGTAGTTTCTTTTTCTCCATTTGGACTCCTGCTGGACAAAATAAGCCGAATGGCGATTTCCATGTGTACTCTCTGAGTTTCAGCCTCTATCTCATGATGACATTCGAGCTATTATACAAAAATCATCAAAGGAAATCCTGTGGTCTTGATCCAATGTCAACAAAGCTTGTTGTACAATCTCTGGCACAGCTGCTACTAGTTATTGCTAAAATGGTAACTTCATTTTTACTATCTGGTTAATTCCCCAAAACATGGAGAGACATATTAGTTGATCGGTGTTACAAAAAAAGCTGGTATATCTTTATATTTCTAATCTGCAGTATGTATTAAAGTTGACAGAGCGTGCAGTATTCGATCAGGTACATGGTGATTTAACTTGTCACATATTGTATCCAACAGTGCAGTCGGCCTATAGACAGGGACATAGCACTGAAACAACATTACTTAAGATACACAATTATATATTAATGGGTATGGATCGTCAGCATGTTGTCTTGGTTGTATTACTTGATCTCAGTGCTGCTTTCGATACAGTGGACCACTCTGTTTTGCTGTCGCATATCAGCACAAGCTTAGGCATAAGAGGAACTGTGCTACAGTGGTTCAAGTCTTATTTATCCGAACATATGTTTCATTGGATGGTAATTTCTCGCAAGCTTTCCCATTAAAGCAAGGTGTTCCCCAAGGCTCATGTCTTGGTCCTTTACACTAGCAAGTTGTGGACAACACAGATTTGTATCTAGCATTCAAGCTTGACACTGCTGCAAGTACTGAATGCTTTTGCTGCTGTGGAACTTTGTGTGCGTGATAAAGAGCCTGGATGTTGTGTGACAAACGCAAGATTAATGATAGAAAAACGGATTTCATCCTGATTGGTACCAGGCAACAGCTTTTGAAAGTACATATGAACTCCCTTGTCATTGGTGATGTGCGGGTGTCCTCTGTTACATCAGTCAAGAACCTTGGCACTTGGATGGATAGCAATCTAAATCTTCAAGTCAATATTAACAATACATGTAAAGCTGCATACTACCATTTGACAAATATAAGCCATATCAGGAAGTATTTAGATGAGAATGTGGCATGAAAGTCGATTCATGCATTAATAATAGGGTGTATTGATTATTGCAATGGCATTCTATACGGTCTACCGGCTACACAAATAATAAAGTTGCAGTGCTTGCAAAATGCTGCTGCTAGATTAGTTCTTAATATCCCTAAGTATAATCATATTTCTCCTGCTTTATGCACACTTCATTGGTTGCCAGTGAAGTTTAGAATACAATTTAAGATTGCAGTTATTATATTTAAAACTAGAAAATACATGCATGCAGCAACCCCTCGCCTTCCTTAACAGATGAAGTATAAAAACCCCAAATAAAGTATTAAAACCACTGCAAACAAACAAACAAACACAACTAATGCGCTAGGTTTATAATGAACGATAACATTCATGCAATTTCACGCATACCAGGTTGCATTAAAGTGAATTATCAAGTTAGAATGGCTTAAACATTTCGCAGATATAATAAAACCGACAACATAAAGCAATTTTACTACTGAAATGTTTACACTTACCCAAACTGGCACAACAAGGATTAAATTATCTGAGACATCAACATCAAAACATCAAAACAATTATTATACAAACTTTGTTTCACCGTTGAACAGCCACTAATTTATGAAACAGCAGGCTTATTTCCAGTTAAAATCGAGAAGAAAAAAAACCGTGTTGGACTTCTCTAAACTTAACCAAATTTAAAATAAAAACTTGCTGTAAAACAGCAAAATACGTCCTTTCAAAATGAACAGCAATTACTTTGACAGATTTTGTACTTGCGCATGCACATAATGTCGAGGTTGTTTGATCAATTTAAAACTGTAGTTCGTGAATAATACTAATGGAGAGTCAAAAATTTTAGATGCAATAATAAATCAGTTATTTTGTCAACAGAACGAGTAATTTAGGAGTAAATTGAGGCATTTTAGCTTGTAAAAATCAAGTAATAATTTATTATTTATTTTGCCCAATAAAAAGTTTACATAATTACAGTGCTATAATAACAACGTGAAGGGCTAGGGACCTTAATGAAACCCTTTCAGGCTTTTTGGTCAGAGGTCCCTAGTTTTACAATGTTAAGGTCCCTAGTTTTTAATAATGGCTTCCAATACACCATTTTAAATTCACTTGATTGGCTTCAAATGCATTATATTCCCTACCAAAATGTGTTTTAGCTTGCAGTGTGCATTATGTGTGCACGTTTACATTATGTGCCGATCAAAAAGAAGGTGTAAATTCCCCTGGGCATGAGTGGGAATTTGTCATTTGCCATGTATGATTTTCCCTAGGGGCAGGCATTTGATTGATTGGGGATTTGACCCTAACATGTGGACTATTATAGATGACACAAGAAACCATAGGCTTTAACATGTCAAAAGCACACTTTTTGCTTTTTTTCAAGAACATGGCGAAATAAAAATTTTGAACGATTATTAAATGATTTTCGAAGCAAAAATGTGAATTATGTTCAACATTGATTGGACCAGAATGGACTGGGAAGTTGAAGAATTTTAACCTTCAAATTAAATTTACAATGGGCCATTTAACCACCACTTAGTTGTGAAATGTAGGGCATTTGAACTTCGTTTTTTTACTTGGGGTGGAGGATTTGATCATTGCAAAATCTAAAGTTAAATGCCGGGAAGGTACAAAAGCTGGACCCCCTCATCTGGACCCCCATCTGGACCCCCTCTGGACCCCCTTCTGGACCTCTCAGAATATAAAATAAATTCAAAATAGGGATTAAAATAAATACTTTGCAGAAATAATGATTTTCATAAATAATAGATTTTAATTTATGGAAGTGGGCCTAGTTGCGAAGTAGTCTTGTGTAATAGGTTAGACAGGTCACTACTTTATATTAGATCAAAAGAATAGTTTCGGCCATGTTAGGGTCAGGCATATTTCGAGTTACGGATAGTGCGCCATATTTAGCGTTTTTATATTGTTATTATCATTGATGCACTATCTCCTTGCAAGATGAAGTAACAACAAACTATAACTTGGCAGGAAAAAAATAATAGCATGTTTTGCTTCCTTATTCTGTGACTTTGTTTAAGGGGTATGGGCAATTTTATTGCTTCATCTGAAAGTGCATGAAAAAATAAGCCGCTTGGCCGTTTAATGCTCTATTCTATCTCATCTAGTTCCGAAGTTATATGCAAAAATGTGCAAAAAATATAAATTGCTGATTCAGCACAAAGTGTGATGTCATTAGCTGGTAAGAATGTTTATTGAATACTACACTGAAGCATAGCTCAGTTATTATGGGCTCAAATCAAATGAAATTTTGCATGCAGATAGTACATGATGAGACCCATGTAAGAAATACTTCTAATTTTGTTGTCAAGGCAACCGTCCGCCAAGTCGTCCCCAGGCCCCTTACACTGATTTTGAATAACTAGTTGCATTTATCTATGTGTATGTCATTTTCGAATTATTAAACAAGTAAACTTTTGGCATGCATAGATATGGTACACATACTTCTGATATTATTTTATTTTTATCAGTACCATAAATAAAGCTGTTTTATAAAATTGGCGCAAGGGACCTGAGAACGACGTTGTTACCTTGGCAACAAAATTAGAAGTGTTTTTCCATGGGTCTCATCATGTACTATCTGCATAACCTGAGTATCAGGCCCTCGGTATTGAAGAGAGCCTGACACAATTCGCCTCTACGGGCTTTCCACCCCCAGAATATCAGCCAATTAAAATTATTTCCGGTTGTAAGCATATTTCCGGTTGTCCGCTACAGGTATGTAAATACGCAAATTTCGTTATTTGCAGTTTTGTATAAATTTGAATAAATACAGAGAAAAATCAGTATGTTTTTGTCGAAATATCCACATGATGGAATTGTAAGCGTAAACTATGCCTCATTCGGGGAACCATAGCTCGATGGCTTTTTCCAGGAGTCTAAAGAGACAACATTCGGCGCTCTGAATAGGATTTCTTCTTCCTCGGTCCTCGTGTCATGTTAATAGTTTATTCGAGACAGCTATTCGCTTCAACTGCGTCTGACACAGCGGCTATTGTCTTCAATTTCTGCCTGATGTTGGCATATTAGTTCGAGCGAGCTGACTACTATATCCTTGCAGGTCTTGGAAAACAGCTCGGCAATAAACTGATAAATAAGGCACGCTTTCTACAATGACTATGTAGTTTTAGTTTTATACCGAGTAAAATGTTGTTGCAAAAGCGTTTTCAACGTCTTTTCGTACTTATTTTGTCATTTTTAGGCTTAATTAATTGAAAATAAATTTCAGAAATAAAGCACTTTTAACAGTATATTGACAAAATTACAAATTCTATTTTTGGTGTTTACATACGCCGGTCATATATTTCCGGTTTGAATCACATGATGCGTTTTATCGTCTCTTAGCCAATCAGCATAACATCCAGATTCTGTATGTTGAACATGGCTTTAGAGCCGAATTGTGTCAGGCCCTCTTTCAATACCGAGGGCCTGATACTCAGGTTACTATCTGCATGCAGAATGTCATTTGATTTGATCCCATAATAACTGAGCCATTATGCTTCAGTGTAGTATTCAATAAACATTCTTACCAGCTAATGACGTCACACTTTGTGCTGAATCAGCAATTTATATTTTGCACATTTTTGCATATAACTTCGGAACTAGATGAGATAGAATAGAGCATTAAACGGCCAAGCGGCTTATTTTTTCATGCACTTTCAGATGAAGCAATAAAATGAATAAAATTGCCCATACCCTTTAAACAAGGTCACAGAATAAGGAAGCACAACATGCTATTATTTTTTTCCCGCCAAGTTATAGTTTGTTGTTACTTCATCTTGCAAGGAGATAGTGCATCAACGATAATAACAATATAAAAACGCTAAATATGGCGCACTATCCGTAACTCGAAATATGCCTGACCCTAACATGGCCGAAACTATTCTTTTGATCTAATATAAAGTAGTGACCTGTCTAACCTATTACACAAGACTACTTCGCAACTAGGCCCACTTCCATAAATTAAAATCTATTATTTATGAAAATCATTATTTCTGCAAAGTATTTATTTTAATCCCTATTTTGAATTTATTTTATATTCTGAGAGGTCCAGAAGGGGGTCCAGATGAGGGGGTCCAGCTTTTGTACCCTCCCGTTAAATGCCCAAGTATATGCCGGGGGATGTTAGCCCTTCATTTTGATCTTTGCATTATATGGCCCCATTCGATGTGCTCATTCATGGAAGTAAGATTGTTTTGATGGATTTCCTAATCTCTTTTAGAATTCTTTTAACAAGATTTTACTAGTTTTTCTGATGTGGCAACAACATTAAAGTTTGAACACGAAAATTCGAACATTGCAACTAATTATATGTGGAAGATTATAGTAAATTTGTATAATTAAGCTGTGTCTAAAAATGATAGGTTTTACCACATTTTCTCCTGTGCAGTTATTATGTACACTAAAGACAGGGATGACCATTGGTTCTAAAGATAAATGATAAGGCTTTTAAAATAAGCCTCCTAAAACTGTTTTATTAGAAGTAATAGTCTGAAAGTTATTAAGCACAAAAGATGGACTCCATTTTTTCATACACCCTGTAGTTATGGTATGATACTGATTGGTTAGTAAGACATTACCAATTTAGTGTTGGATGAAACAGGTTGTAGTGGCAACCTTTTGAATATGCACAATAACTCAAACAAAAATCAATTGCTTCAAAACCATTCAACATATTGCTTGTCTTTCCCTAAATATTAACTGCAGATAATTGTATGGATTATGTTTGTTACTCATATATTTTTCAATATTTATTTCCATCAAATTCCTCACAAAACTGTTTTCAAAAACAGAGGTTGAAAAGATTGTTGATTAAAAGTGGAGAGAGAGCAAAATCCCCTCATGGCCGGAAATGCAGGCCAAAATGGCTGCCAAGCATGCGCGTTTTAGCCCTAATGTAGAAATCCAATATGGCGTCTTAATGTAAGATTAGAGTGGAAAATCATTAAAATTTGCATTTTAGATAACTTACGATCGAGAAATCCCAAATGTGCATATCCAAAACATTACTAATTTTATCGAACTTTTACCACTGAAAATTTGAAGACAGCTCGAGCTGCCGAACTATGTACCCAAGAAACAATATTTTTACCTTAGTCTCCGCATAAGAAAGTGTGTGATTTTGCCATATTAGGTACTTTACAGTTCCAATTTCTGCTTGTTGTTGGCGGACATCGGCAGATGTGCATATCAGAGCTGGTTCGTATAGACTCTATCTTCATTTTGTTCACGTGTAAGCAGACATTCCAACCTCCGAATCCTCAAAACCAGGACACTTCCAAATTTTCCCATTTTACTTAAATAAACGCTTCCCTCGAATAAATGCGGCGCTTTCTTATTGATGTGGTGTCTATTTGGGTTAGTGTTAAAAATTGGTTGAGTTGAGTTTGAATTAAACAATAAAGTCACAGCTAGTGGATGCTACAAAACTAGTTTTATTACTGCACTAACATTCAAAAACCCATAAGTCATATAACATCTTTTCAACAAGCTTTAATTTCATTGAAGTACTGTACTGGCGAAATTGTTTAATTTTAATACTGTTTTTTTGAACTGTGATCCTCTCATATTCAAGAGCCCGTGATTATTGCGCCCGCTCTGTTATGCTGCTTTACTTCCTGTAGCCCTGGCAAAATGAATAGGAATTGAAAGCCCTTCATTTACATATGCTGCCAGATCTACATCTAAAGATATACTGTTTGCTGTGGATATTCCTTTCCCACTACTGAGAGCCTGGTACAACCTAGTGGTGTTGAAAAATTAAGCCCTTCCAAACATCTTGCACCTGTGATCCTAAGAAAATAGCCATCAACTTGCCTTCAAATTTTCCCCAGTTTACTTATATTCAGTTGTAATTGAATTTGCAATTCCTGGAAATTCGTTTGGTCTTACATCTGATCAAGTTGTGAGGTCAGAAATAAATAATTCCCTTCAGGTTATGGCAGCAAAGGTGTATGCTGACTATAGCAAGAGTCAAGGTAGAAAGAGACAACAACTGAATTTTAAGACCAAGAAATTCCATATAATGCATGGACAAACAATTTCTATTACAAAACTCAAACAAGATAAGGCATTTGTTTGCGACGAGTTGGAAAAATGGAAGGGAAGCAACATTAATTTAGAGGTGGAAATTAAAAAGCTTTACCATGAAATGGAAAAAATGAAGAACTATTGAGGTATAAACCTTGAAACATCTGAAAAAATTCAGCATCAGGTAAAAGATATTTCAGAAACAAAGAAAAAAATCAAGGACTCTCAAAATTTTTTTGTCTCTGGCAGAAACTGTCTTATGGTTTGCAAAATCTTTTCGACTGGAATTAGAAAGCATGACCATTAAAGAAATCAACTCTGATATTAGACATAATTTAGTTGTTGACAACAGTGGTACTGGTAACACAAATAATGTTTCTGGATTTGACGCTCTCTCAGATGATGATAAGGGCAAGGTCGAAAAAGTTCTGTTTCTCCTGGACAAGTTCTGTGTGGGTGATGCTTTTTACCATGAGATAACTATGTTGGTAGAAGGCTTGCCTAAGTCATATTTAGTTAAGCAAAGAAGGGACCAACTGAACAAAATGTGTCACATAACCTCAACACCTGGAGAAGAACATGGAGCCCAACTTACTAAAAAACAGGATAAAAGAATATACAATTGCTCACCCAAATGTTGTTAGAGACAATGAAACAATCAAGGTCAAAATTTCAGGAGATGGGGATAACATGACCAGGAGTTCGAATTTTATTTTGGCGAGTTTTGCCATTTTGCAATTTACTGATGACGTTTTAGCAGCAAAGGGAAATCATACTATCGCTGTTGTAAAAGGAAAAGAGGACTATGATGTTTTAAAGCACTGTTTTAGAGATGTATTCACTGACATAAATGACATGTTAAGAGAAAAAACTAGATCTGGGAGAAGACACAGTAAACTTAGAATTCTTTCTTGGCAGCGATTATAAATCTATATTACTCATGATGGGTCTTAGTGGAGCCACCTCAAATTATGCATGTGCTTGGTGCAAGATTCATAAGGACGAGAGGAACATGTCTTATGATTTGAACCACTACAATTCACCAAATGAATGAACTAGCAGGGAAAAAAACAAAAAATTTCTGTTCTGTGAATATCCCCTTATAAACATTGATTTGGATCATGTGATATATTAGATGAACTGCATTTGCAGTTAAGAATTATGGATGTCTTGATTCAAAATTTGGTCACTGAAACAGTACAATGGGACCAGGCCAACAACTGGAACAAGAGAAAGAAGGATAAAAAAATATTCATTTAGATAATTTAAAAAGCACAATTCGATCTTGTGGGATCTCATTTGAAATTTGGGAAAAATCTAATGCTGATGGCAAAGGATCGGGTCATTATGATTTTACAAGTCTTCAGCGCCGGACAAGAAGAAATTATTGAAAGAACACCCAGAAAAGCTTGAAGGTTTGATCCCTCCGGCAGCTGAAATTGAAACGAAAAGCCTTTGGATTAAGTTTTCTATCATTTATTCTATAGTAACTTGCAAAACACCTTCCGAAGAAATGATTAGAACGTACTTTTGTAAAGCACAAGAATGGATTAATCTTTTTGTTAAACTAGGAGACAAATGTGTTTGCTTTTACAAAAAGCAAGGTAACCCCCTACATGCATGTCGTGGTTTACCATGTACCAACATTTCTAAAGACATACAAAATTGTAAAACTGTGTAGTGGTCAAGGCGTTGAGAAAAACAATGTCGCAAGGAGCATAGTCTTAAGAAAATCAAACAATTGGGATGCTGCTGCAGACGTGTTGAAACTCGAGTCAAGGCAATGGGACTTGCGAAAGCAAGAATGTACCGAGTACTGGGAGCACCAGCTTGAAGAGGAAAGAAAGAAGAGAAAAACAAATGACATGAACAATATATCTATGTGCTAAAAATAGAAGATACTGTCACAGAGTAAATTACATACAAAGGTCTCACTTGAGGTTAATTCAACGTAAGGAGATTTTTCAAGTGCCCTAAAGAGAGGCCATCACTCCCCTGAAAATATATTGAAATTTATTGTTCCAGGGGGGAGTGCTTCTCTTCAAGGGCACTTTGCTAAGAACATGCATGACTACAGTTTTGTCGCAGAAGACTACGGTTTTGTTGCAGAAGTGATACCTTTTCATGTGATTACTCTGTGATACTGCACCCTTTTACTGTATATATTTTTTTTAATATTTGAAGCATTTACATTATTAATACAAATTACAGCAAAGTTTTACAATATTTACCATATATACATTATAGTGTCCTGACAAAGCCTTGGCTCAAAACATCTAATATGGTCTACTATTTTCTTCATTTAATAAGTATTTAGTACTGATACTAGTTAACATATGATATGAGTTAATGATCATATATATTTTAACTAGTGCTTATGCAGTAGATACTTTTGAGGCACACCGGAACCAACCCAATATGATTGAAAATGTCCAAATCAATCCCTATACAGGGGTGTAAACATCTGCAGTACAGGCTACAGAACGGTAGCAATTTTAAAGCAAGCTGTTGTGAGCCTCATGAAAATTATTTTTTATACTAATATCAAAAACTCAATGCTAAATGATTAACTGGATGAGTAGAAAGTCCTGGTGCACCTCAAAGGTTCCCAGATACTATATCCCTATACTACCTTAAAGTGGAATTCAAGTCCGTTATGCACATCGGTTCTGCTCATAACAATGTGAGGACCTCTGAATGTAAACATTGCCCAGATTTCGAATGTTTCGAATTATTCTGAACACAACTCTATTTCATATTCATTTAGAAGCATAGCAAACCAAAATGGTGTTAGATATTCAGACAGGACATCATTTTTTTTAGAAATACAGCAGTTCAAAATGTACACAAACCGTTTGTTTACATACGGACTTGACTTCCCCTTTAAAGGGTATTGGCAACAAAAAAATGTTATTACTTCATCTGAAAGAACATGAAAAAATAAGCTGATTGGCTGTTTAATGCTCTATTCTATCTCATCTAGTTCCGAAGTTATACACAAAAATGTGCAAAATATAAGTTGCTGATTCAGCGCAATGTGTGACGTCATTGGTTGGGTAAGTATGTTTAATGAATACTAAACTGAAGCATAGCTCAGTTATTATGGGCCCAAATCAAATGAAATTTTGCATACTGATTGTACATGATGAGACTTTTGTTGTCAAGGTAACAGTGTCATTCCCAGGCCCCCTGCGCCAATTTTATAAAACAGGTACTTATAAGAATAAAATAATATCAGAAGTATGTGTACCATACCAAGGTATGCCAAAAGTTTACTTGCATAATAATAATTTGAAATTGACATACACATAGATAAATGCAACTAGTGATTCAAAATCAGTGTAAGGGGCCTGGGAACGACTGTGTTGCCTTGACAACAAAATTAGAAGTATTTTCCCATGCGTCTCATCATATACTATCTGTCTGTATGCAAAATTTCATTTGATTTTAGCCAATAATAACTGAGCTATGCTTCAGTTTACTTTTCAATAAACATACCCAACCATTGACGTCACACGTTGTGCTGAATCAGCAATTTATATTTTCACATTTTTGCGTATAACTTCGGAACCAGATGAGATAGAATAAAGCAGTAAATGGCCAATCAGCTTATTTTTTCATGCTCTTTCAGATAAAGCAATAAAAAATTTTGCTGCCAATGTCCTTTAAACATTGACAGAGAATGGTTGTTTTTTACAGTTGAAAGTTTTTGTTGCATGCCCATATATGGCATACAACTATCATATAGCTTAAAATTTGTGTCCGTTGGTGGTGGTGGTGAAACTTGTGGCAGATCACGTGGGACGAGCATAATAACAATAAGCATAATTATAAATTTTGAATCGTGTGCACGTTTTCTTCCATGGTTTTCGTCGAGCAAATGCATAGATTCGCAGAAAATTTACATAGTCGAGCGCCTTAGAAAAATACATCGAGGTAGGTAAAGCTTTGCTGGTTTAATTTACTTTATATTCTGTTATTTTGTTGTGATTTTGGAGCCGCTGTGCTCGCACTGATTATTTATCAGGCGTAATATTATATAGCGTGAAAGGCCACGCTATCAAAATACTAAATTTAAATATAATACTCAAACTGAAGTGGAGTTATTGTGCTCGCATTGATTATATTGTGTGCAAAACTTCAAAACTACAGTAAATTTTGTAAATAACATGAAATATATTAAAAATAACAAACAAAATTCTCATTAATACTATTGAAATTACAACGAAATAGCATTCTACGTCGATAATTTCGATCGTAGTTTAACAATTATTCTGTAGTAATTCACCGTTTCCATGTTTTTTATACTTTCAGTAAGGCTACAATAAAGCTAAATTTGTAGGGGATAACATTATTTAGTTATAAAATAATAAAGGAAATCTAACAGTCAATCGCTTTCGATAAACCTTGAACTTGTTTATATTACCGTCGCCTGCATCTAACGATGAACAGTTGCTCATAAAAACATTGCCTTTTCGCGCGATAATCTAAAATTTTCTTATTTTGACATAATAGCCAATTTTCAATATATATATTGATATTGAATCAATATATTAAGTTTCAGGGCAGTTGTACCAAACGTTATAAGTGCTAGCGCATCATAACCAGGGGGGTGACCTCTGGGGGGCGACTGCTTCTGTTTACGGTACTTGCTGAGTGACGAATCATCAATCATGACGAATAGCGCTAACGCAAAAAAAACACAATGGAAATTGACTTCTGTATAGTATTCTGTGTCATAACGTTTCATGGTTTTGATTAGCCTGAAAACAGACCTACGTTTCGCCCACCCTAAAATTTGCGGGTCGACAGATCCGTAGACCTTCTCCAAGTCTCTCTTTCATTGTCATATCGATCCACTATGGTGTACATTACATGACGTAGCACTGAGAGGCGGAGCGAGAAAGAGAGACTTGTCAACTTTGGAAAATCTCGGTTCAAAACTGAACCGAAAATGCAAGACTTGCTTTAAAGTGCCTCTTGCACAATTTATTTTTTTCGTCTTATCGGATCTACTACCAATTTATAGTGGTTTAGTGAAGAAATTTTTAATTTTGAATCATTTGGGTGGTTTTTATGGCGTGTTAAATATGGCATCTCGTGGCCCATTGACGCGGAGTTAGGAGTCTGGGTCTAGAACGCTTTTCTGACGTCACGCAAGGTAGTCGGTGTTTTGCTTTGTTGTTCGATGTGTTGTTTTATATTCGATCACGAGGAGGACTGTATTTTGCCAAAAACATTTCAATTGCAAATAAGTATTATACAGCGATCATGTCCAGCAGTGAATCGGATAATTCTGATACAAGTTATCAATCTGATGACTCGGACGTAAACTTCATTCCTGAATATGTCATAGAGGATGCAGAATTAAATTATGGAAATCATGAATACTCGATTGACCCAGAGCTCGAAGACAATGGTTGTTCGGGCATTGCATATGCCGATGAACCTTTAGCTGACGAAGCCTGGCTGGAAACATATCAAAAAGAAGAACAGGAGCGTTTAGAAGTAGAAGAAAAACTCGTCAAAAGATTAAATGGTTCTGTATATATAAGCGAATGGTAAGGAGTTTATATCAAAGTCTATTACAGTAAAATTTCGTTATAATTTGTCATTTTAGTACGATATTATGAAGTGTTTGGGGTATTAAGGAATGCTCTGTTGCTCTGGCTGCTTTTGGCCGAAGTTAAATGTTTTATTTTTGTAATTTTGTTGCAGGTGTAAATGTGGTAACTGTAGTGTGGAACTACTTCATAATAGCTACGAGTGCTATTGCTGTTCTGAGTTGGAAGGCTGTGACGAAGCCATGCACAACGAAGAGGTTCTTGAAGACCTAAAGGCTGCGGATATCACAGATGCTAAATGTATAACGCAACACCCAGGATTTAATTGCTTTTGTTTGCAAAAGTGGAGTTTAAAGATGTCTGCAGATGGCTATAAAACCAAAAGTAAAGCCAGATATCGCCAACTGGAGGGAGAGAACAGGTTAGAACTGCATTGATTGCTCAACTACTTGTGATATATAATATTACCAGAAATAGTAAAAGACAAAATCATTTTGTACTGGCATTTAATAAATTGTTGCCCTGTTTCTAGATTCCTGCGCAGTGTCTCATACAGAGGATTTACGAGGATGGTTTATCGATTCCTCGGAAATAAAAGGATACCTCTGCCAGCATGTGCCTACATGGCTATTAGAAAAACATTTCCTGTTAGTGAAAAAGAAGAATTTACTGGCTATGTTGATGAATCTGACTGAGAAATATAATACATGCTTCCAAATTGTTTGGTGAGGGACTGTCAATA